TTAAAAATGGGAACCACGATCCCAGTTTGCCAATCCAGAGGTACTGTCCCCGCCTTCCATGCAACATTAAAGAGGCGCGTTAACCACGATACTCCCACACTGTCCAGCGGTTTCAACAACTCTGGGCAAATTTCGTCCACCCCAGCAGCTTTGCCGCTACGAAGTCCCTCGACTGCCGCAGTAACTTCAGCAGGCGTGATGGATCCGACCACCCCCCCCCCCCCAGCTTTTTCCAGGGCTGCCTCCTGAGAGGAGGGCATGTCCACCGGGTTGAGGAGCTCCTCAAAGTGCTCTTGCACCTCTCGACTACCTCCTTAGTTGAGTTCAATGTGACTCCACCCTTATTGAGAATAGCCTGGGCCATGTCCCGTCGACTCCTCCTAAGCCGTCGGATGGTTTGCCAGAACATCTTTGAGGCTGCCCAGGATTCCCTCTCCATGGCCTCTCCAAACTCTTCCCATGCCCCGGGCTTTCGCTTCAGTAACTGCTGCAGCTGCCGCCCTCTTGGCGAGCTGGTATCTCTCCGAGCATAGCTCGGGAAAAAGCTCCTTCTTCAACTTGACAAATTCCCTCACCACTAGTGTCCACCAGCGGGTCCTAGGGTTGCCGCCATGACAGGCACCAACTGCCTTTAAGCCATAGCATTTCACAGCTGCATCCGCAATCGAGGTCCTGAACGTCGTCCACTCGGACTCAATGTCCATGACCTCCCCGGGAGTGCATCAGAAGTTTTCCCGGAGGTGGAATTTGAAATCTTTTTCCACTGGGTCTTCCGCCAGATGGGCCTTCCACGTCTATCTGGTCCAGTGCCCCAAGCATCGGATCCAACTTTCCACCAAGTATTGATCAGTTGACAGCTCTGCCCTTCTCTTCACGCAAGTGTCCAGAACATATAGCCTTTGGTCTGATGATACACCTATGAACTCAATCATTGACCTTCGGCCCAAGGTGCTCTGGTACCAAGTGCACTTAAGAGCATCCTTGTGTTCGAACATAGTGCTTGTTAATGACATTCCGTGACTAGCGCAGAATTCCAATAATTTCTCACCGTTCGGGTTCAGATCAGGAGGCCATTCCTCCCAATCATGCCTCCCTAGATATCTCCATCGTTTCCCACGTGAGCATTGAAGTTGCCCAGTAAGACTGTGGAGTCGGTAGACGGCACTCGTTCGAGCACTGCACCCACCGTCTTCAAGAAGGCCGAAGACTCATCATCATTTATAGCAACTCTTGTCAATCTACTGATGGATGTAGACCTCTATATCTCCATACTTTACCATGCTGGTCAGTGCTCATCGGTGAATGGAGGCGAGCGAACAAGTTCGGTACAGTGGAACCCACTCTTCACTACGGTGATTGTTTCCACGAAACCGGTCGTTAAGTGATTTGGTCGTTAAGCGAGTAGAGGAAAAACACGTTAAAGGCTTAATTCGTTCTGATAGCATCAAAGGTTACCGTTTTTCACCCAAAAAAACGTACTTTATCATATTTAAACAATGGATATTAATACATAAAGATACTAACAACATTATATGAACACATAAATAATTAAAATAACATAGTTAATCAATGCACTAATTAATATTTACTGTACTACAACAGTCCGTTGTGAACAGAGGAATGGTTGGTAAGCAAACACATTGGGCTCTATGGAGGCACTACACTACTATACACTACACTATACACTACTGTACACTACACTATACAGTACTGTACACTACACTATACACTAAACGTTGGGCTCGATGGAGGGCCATCGTTAAGCGATTAGTCGCTAACAGGAGTGGTCGTTAAGAAGGGTTCTACTCTATATTACAATACACTACACTACTATACACTACACTACTTTACACTACCCTATACACTACTATACACATTGGGCTCTATGGAGGCCTGTCATTAAGCGATTAATCGTTAACAGGGGTGGTCGTTAAGAGGGGTTCTACTCTATCCTATACAATACACTACTATAAACTACACTATACTCTACACATTGGGCTCTATGGATTCCTGTCATTAAGCAATTAGTCGTTAACAGGGGTGGTCGTTAAGAGGGGTTCTACTCTATATTACAATACACTATACTACTATACACTACACTACTTTACACTACCCTATACACTACTATACACGTTGGGCTCTATGGAGGCCTGTCATTAAGCGATTAATCGTTAACAGGGGTGGTCGTTAAGAGGGGTTCTACTCTATCCTATACAATACACTACTATACACTACACTATACACTACACATTGGGCTGTATGGATTCCTGTCATTAAGCGATTAGTCGTTAAGAGGGGTTCTACTGTATTCACTTCTACTGATGTTAGCCATGGCCAGGAATCGAACCCGAGTTGGCAGTTCTGCAGTACAGCCGAATATCCGCTACGCCACTGCTCGCCGTCCATTTCTACCGGCCTAAACTACCGTGCGGTGCACTAACAATATACTGCATCTAGTCTCTGTAATTTGTGAAGAAAAAATTGACGTTCACTCGATGCACACTTATGGCAACACCCAATCATAGTTGTTATAATCGCACGTTTAAAAAATTGAGGCCCCCCCCCCTAAGGTTCAAGGTTGGTTAGCCCTCACCCATAACCTGCACCCAAATGCCCTTTGGCAGTTGAGTAACTGATTATACGGTTTGCTGTTGAGCACTAAAATAATGAAATCCGTCCAAAGTCGGCCGTGCACAACTGCCAAAGCAAAATAATAATGTTGAAGGGCCTATTGGCAGCAGAATTCAATTTGTATTCACCAAACATTGTCTGTCTATTTTTTCCAAAGTACTTTAGTTTGAGTCAACGAAGCAGCAAATGGTTGTCATATATAAAAAAAATTGTTCATGAATAAATTATAAGGGTAACACAAATGCAGTTAACGTTATCGAGTCTGACAACAGCACTCGCCGCTTATGCCTCCCCTGCAGTAGACAGACGGGAGGAGACAGAATGGAAATCTTTGGCAAGTAAACTTTGATCAGTCACCAAGGATTGGGCTCAATTTATTTTTGTTTACCTCCACAAACCCGTTAACAAACTAGCCCCATAATTATCCCATAATTATCCTTGTGACGATGTTACACCCATTTTACTTTTCAAGCACCTTTTTCTCAGAGCAGTGTACAACCTACTCTCCCCCCCCGAAATAACAGCCATTCTTTCCCACACAGATCTGCACGTGTGTGAGCGACTTGGCCTCTAGTGACGATGATCTAAACCGGTCCTGTGCCTCCCCTAGGTCGACACGGCCGCAAATCAGAACCTGGTGTGTGAACATCGCCACACGGGAGACAAAGGCGGCCGGGCGTGGTGCTGGCCGCCCACCCGCTCGTGTGCCGTGCTCACGACCAAAAGCAATCACGAATAACCGAACTGGTACCAGGCTTCCGCTAGCTCTACTCGGCCTTAAGCGAGTACCCGTTGGGGTGTAAAAAACACCATCATTGGGGAGACAAATGCGGTCGGACGTGCTGTTGGCCACCCACCCCCTACACGTGCCGTGCCGGTCTTAATAGGTGCTTGCAAACAACGCTTGCCCCGACAGTTCAGTGCAGGCTATGCGGGGTCTCGTTGTCTTTGTAGCGGGGTTTTGGCCCAGCAACGCGCGGTAATTAGGGCCCCATCAGTCGTTTTTGGCGGACACCGACTCGGCCATTATCGCTCCTCCTGTTTTCATGTCAACGTTCGAGGGCACTTGAGAAGGTGCAACCACTGAGCCGATGATTTCGCATTTTTATTTTAGCCGGGTGGGTTATGTGAGTGTGTGCGTGTGCGCATGTGGAGGAGTGGTGGCCTCGTGGTTAACTGCGCTGGCTTCGGAACCCGATCAAACCGAGTTCGAATTCCCGGCCACAGCTTACATCGGTGATTGTCCAAACTGGTCCTGGGCCTCCCCTTGGTCAACTCAGCCATGAAATTAGTACCTGCTAAAGTGGTGCTAACATCAGCACTCGGGAAACCAAGGTGGATTGTCTACACCACTCCCTTGTCCGCCACGCCAGCTTTCATAGGTGCTACTCGCTAACAGCACTTGCCACAGCAATTCTTGCATGCTAGACACGAGATCTTGGTCTTTGTGTATGTATTGTGTTGGTAGCGGTGGCACAATTGTTAGCGTGCTACGCTACAAACACGGTGGTCCAAATTCGATTCCCGCCACGGCCAACACAGTGACAAATATCTTAACCGGTCTTGGGCAAACCCGAGGTCAACTCGGCCTATAAATGACCCCCTGGTGCGATGTGTAATCGTCGCCACGCGGGAGACAAAGGCGGCCGGGCCCGGTGATTGCCACCCGCCACCTCGTAAGCCGTGCTGGCCTTCGTAAGTGCTCCATGAGTCGTTTCAGGCTGTATGGGGGGGGGATCTTTGTCTTTATTGTACGTCCGTGTGGGACCTTTTTATTTTTGTTGCCTCAGGAGTGTTTTGTGTCGGAGCGGAGAGCGTTGAAACACCGCAAACTCTGCAAAGAGGATTTTTTGGATACATTTTGTTGTTGCTGTAGTTATTTCACTGGCCGTTGTGAGAGTTGGTGGGGGGGGGTGTTGGCTTGGTTGGGTTTGAGTGGAAAGCGCGCTCATCCCCACGTCTCTCTCTTAGCAGCGGCGGCGATGCCGCGCCTTCACCCTCCATCTCTCCCCTGTCGGTTGCCCCGTCCAGGGCTATTTCCGTCTCTCGGCATCGGCAGCAGCGGCGGCAGCGGCGGCGTGCGTCACTGAGCGGCGGCGGCAGTAGCGGCGGCGAGAGAGAGCCCCGGGGCAGAGCTGGACTCGACGCCGACCTCGCCGCTCTGCCTGCTGCACCGTAGCCGAGCAGCCCGAGTCCCTCCAGCGATCTCGAACGGCCGGCGATTGATAGAGAGACCCGTTTTGGCGTCGTCGTTGCTGCCTGCTGCCTTTTTACGGTTTTTTTTTGGGTTTGTTATTTACGGTCAAGCACCGTAATTCTTTAGCGTTCATTATTTATTCGCTGCAAACGAAGTAGCAATTGTTTTATCCCCATCCCCCCCCCCCCAGTCCGTACGTCCCGCGGTATATTTAATGTGCTGTAATTATACTTGCGTGCCATACACGGGAGTATATTTAGACGTACTGTATGCTCGGACTAAGTGAGTAAGCGCGGCGGGGTGCGTGCGTTTACTGCGAAGGGCTCGACTCAGAAGTGTGCTCTGCACATGAGCGGTCATAATAGGAAACACGCCACGTCTCGAAAATATTGCCGCAGAGACCGAACCGACTGCCCGTCTCATCAGAGTGTGGAAAAGACCTGCCGCCACCCAACCCGGCTCTTGTTGGAAAAAGTAACTGGCGAGTTGCGCGTTTCGGCGCAGTATTTTTGAATTGTCGCCGCTAATTCCGGACGGACGTTCGCGATGTGCGTGGGACGCTTACAGCGAGGTGAGTCGTGACATGTCGCTTGTTTTTTTGTGCGTGTGTGTGTGAGGTGCTCCATGTGCAGGCGCTTGTGTCATGTGCCCGCCGATTCTCCAGAACCGAATGATCAATACGTTCCTTGAAATGAACTCTTAATTTAGAAAGGCAGCTTTTACGCTTGAGTTTTTTTTTTGCTTTGACATTTACAGTCATCTCTTAGTCATGTGCTGTTTTTGGAGCCGATCCTATGGAAACTCGACGATGCTACGACGCTCGCTCGCATCTAATCGTATAATAATAATGATAATCCAGTGCTGCAGCAGTAATTCTAAATCGTGCAGGATTTTCCCATGTTTTGTATAACGTTTGAAATGGGTCAAAAAAAAAAGTGGTCTGCAGCTGCCTTGCCTGTTGCAGGACAGTGTTACTTTAAGCCAAAATTGAGGAACTATGAAAATAGAAAAAATGGAAACTCCCCCCTCTCTCACACTGTCGAGCATTTCGTTTATACTAATGCAGCCTTCATAATTTGGTCCACGTAGTTTTTCAAATAATGTACGTGCCGGGGTCCTTAAAACGTTACCCGAGGTAATTTGGGCTCTCGGCGAACCTTGCTTGCGAGCCTCACGGCCCGGCTCATTCCGAACGTCGACGATAAATGCCCGCCCTCGCGTCTTTTGTAAACACACATCCCCGTTGCGCAGTCGTTTTAAGTGCCTACCCTTGTTTGCCTTGGTATCTGGGCGGCTGTTGGCTATATTACGTTCGCGCGTTACTGCTGTGGACAATATCATAGCGGCAAGGAGCGCCAAAGACGCGGCCCGCCCGCCCGCCCGCCCGCCTACACCACGAGCGGTAATTGTGTGGGTGATTACTTTTGTAAAAATTCCAGGCCCAAATTTGGCAGCGTCCTTCGAAATACGGTCCTCCAGCGAGGCCGTGTTTATGCCTCAGGCATGCGAATTAAATGTGAAATAAAATATGCGCGCATGAGGTTTCTCTTTGACATTAATGGTCCTGAGCCGTTGTGTCGAGATCCAGGTTAGCATTTAATTTGCCTCGTAATTACACGGAATTTAGCCGTTCTGGGTTGTCACGTCCAAGCACATTTGGAGCTGGCAGTAAATGCTCAGAAATCCAGACGAGTGACATTTGGATGGAAATGTTTTAATTTTTTTGGCGGAACGATGGCCTTTGTGGGAATGAATGTCGCCCCGTTGTTCCACTCAGCCATCGGGCAATTTTATTTTACGTTTAAAAATCTGACGGCGTGGTCATAGCGGGCACTTTTTGAGTGTAAATACGAGCGAGGATAAGTGCATCGCATTGTCGCAGATCGAAAAGGGAGTGGGTTTAGAGCAAGGCTAGAGAGTGTTGTCTGTAGATAAATGTGAGCATTTTTATTAATGTATGTGGACCAGTTTATGCACATTACAAGTGTGCAGAATAAATAAATGTCGACAGTGTAAGTAAGTTTGAACACAAACTGGTGATACGTGTAATCGAGTAATCCAGTAATATAACTGAAACTAAATACCACGGCTGTAATAGATGCGCTTCTTTTTGGCATGGTACATTATTAGGAAATCCAAATGCACGGTTTATTTATTTTAATAATGCATTGTGAAACCAAACCCCCATTTACAAACAAAGCCAACGATTAGGAGCACAAACAAAATCAATATGTTACCTGATTAAAAAAAAAACACATTTCTGGTATTTGGCTCATTTTAAAAAATCAGCAAAAACATTTTGCGTTTCCGTTGCACTTCCGTCCGATCCCTCACGAGCGCTCTCCTTCCTCCAGTCTAAAGTCCAGGCAGGCGCCCGTCACGCTGGGCGCTCGCTATCCTAGATGGACGGAGGCCCTTGAACCTCCGCCGCTTCACTGCTGCTGCCCCCGAGAGCCATGGAGGCATTTTTCAAGCGACACATCGTGCTGCAGCTGCGACGGGCCTCCCGGCGCAAGCGGCTTCCGCCCGGCGCCGGCTGCAGCAGCCCCGAAGGCGAGCTGGCTTGCTGCAGCGGCGGCGGCGGCGGCCTTTCCGCGGGCCGCAGGCCCCTGTCGCAGGACCGTGTTCTGTCCGGGCCTCTCGCCCAACGGAGGCGCTGTAGCCTCGTGGGTCAGGCGCGCTACGCCAAGAGCAGGGCAGCCAAGGCGAAGGGCTCCACGCTGCTCTCCCGGCTCATGAAGTCGGGGCAACGCGGCTCGCGACAGCGCCGGCGCTCCAGCACGGCACCGCTCTGGGCTAACCCGCGCTTCCTCGTGCCGTCGCACGCCTCCGGCGGCCCCAAGAACGAGGCGCGCTGCCAGGGGCCGGAGGGGGCGCAGGACGACGCCGCCGAGGCCTGCCGGCGTCGGGACGCGAGCAGCAGCAGCAGCAGCAGCGGCAGCTTGTGCGAGAGCGACTGGGACTACGGCTCGGAAAAGGGGTTCGATTTCGTCCTCAGGACTAGAGCGGACGAGGGGGGAAACACACAGGGGGAGACGATTGGTCGCGTAGAGGCCCATCAAGGGCCGGCGAGTTCTCCGGAACCATCCTCGGCGTCTCCCCCTCCTTTGCCGTTTGCGACGAAATGTACGCGCAACCCTGGACAAGCGTCGGCGGCGGAGGAAACGGCATCGGGTTTGAGAGGAAAGCCCAGATGGAAGCTGGTCCACAAAAAGTCAGGCCGTTGCCTTAGACGTAAGCCGGCCGTGAAGTCGGCCACCGCCCTTTATGAGGCACCTCATGTTGTGCACAGGTTGGTGCTGGAATTTTAAATCAGTATTTTCCTGGTTATCGCTATAATTTGTGCAGCAATTGCCGGATATAACAATGTGTCCTTACATGTATCATCCAGTGCAAATTTATTATAGTTGTTTGAACGTGGTCAATAATACTAGGCACATACCCGCGCGCGCACACATACGCACTTGGTAGTATGAAGATTGCATGACACTAGTTTCATCCCTCCTTAACCTCCACGTGCCCACCGCGGCGTTGGCGACGCACGTCGCATCGAGGTTTCAGAGCGTCATCCCAGGTGGTGGCCAGCATCTAGGGCGCGTGAGCTTGCTCCGCGCGCCTCTTTCCATCGAAGATTGCTTGAGCGTTTTGGTATTTTGGGGTGCTGCAGCAGTAATTCCCAACATTCGACCACGCAGCTCAAACTGCTGTCCGATTGTAATTCCTTATTACCGTATGGGACCTCCGCAGACACTTTGTGGCTGTGGTGTTGAGGTGAATGCGGTCAATTGTGGAATTTATTTCAGTTGCTTTTTTGTCTCACGCTTTGGTCGAATTCTTCTGTGCGAAAATGCCTGTACTACTTGGGGCATAATAATTTAATAATCGTGGTTTCTTTTTATATTTCCCTTCCTTTGCCAAAACGTGTGATATTGTAATATGACCTCTAGCAGCCAAAATATACAGTACATTTCTACCCCCGTATATCTCAACCACGCAAACGAGTGTGCTTATTTTAGTCTGTTTCATAGCTGTCTGTTCTTTCCAAAGATGCAGTTCAAAATATCGTTCACGTTATTTGGACATGACACATAGCCACGTTGGGTTCCAGGTACATGTTGCCTATGCCTCGTACGTACGATATCTACTCTGCACTTTATGTGTGTGTGTGTTGAAATGCGTGATACGTGCATGTTCATATCAATATTATTCGTGGGGAACTGTGGCACGAGTGGTTATCGTACTGCACTTCCAACCCATGACCTGAATTCCCATTTGCAGCCATGGCCAAGAATATCTAAATAGGCTGTGGGCCTTCCCTAGATTAGATTCAGAAATGAACGAGTACCTGATGCGGTGTGTAAACATCACCATTTTGGAGAAATAAAGCGTTCAGGTGTGGCGCAGACCACAGTTCCGCCCCTCGTGCGCCATGCTGGCCTTAATAGGTGCTCACCAGCTGCAGTTGTTCCACTGGCCTATCAAGTCTTGATATCTACAACCACGGATGCAATGAAGAGAGGATTTTCCGACAAACGCTGGTATCTGAATCAACTGGGCGGCCAAGTTTCCCCAGCACGAAGTGACCATCATTAAAACGCACGATCAAATTTGAGCGTTTAGAAGTTTGTTATTTATTTTTGCCTATTGGTGCGAGTCAGGGTGGTGGGTGCGCTTGAGGTCGGTTCGTTCTCTGCTCACAGTCCGTGCATCCACGAGCAAGCGCCGTTGTGATCTGCGGACCCTCCAGTACGAGAGCTGGGAGCGGGTAATCTGACTTGCGTGCTGAGCCCGCACAAGCAGAGCTCGCTTCTCGGTCTACACATGTAAATACAAAATATGTCTTAGTTCGTTGGCCTACTGGCTTTCTGTAGACCATTTATGTTTGAACTTCTTGCACACCGTACGTAGCCAATCGTGCTAATCGGGATGCAAAACATTCAACAGCAGCATTTGTATAAGCCCGGAAACTCTGGGCCGGTTTCGACCTTCTGGGTCTCATCAGCAGTGTCAGGCTTGCTATGTAAATGCTGTTTGGCTACTTGACGTTGTTTAGCAAGAGCCCTCCATATAAACTGCTGTGGTCCTATTCAATACCAAAAAAGCACATGATACAAACTGTGGTGTGTTGTTGTGGAGCATTATGGCTAAACAGAATTTCGATCTGTGTCTCCACATATAGGTGTGAAAAAAGAAATGTTTTAGTCTTATGGGCCTAATTGGCCTGCCAGACCAATATCATCCAGCAGAATGCTCCTCACTTTGGCAGCCCTTCCACCCTGCGCTTTCAGATGCCCGTACGGGAAACTGTACCCTCAGCCGCAGGCTGCATGGAAACTAGCATTTTCATTGTTTATTAAGGAGGCTTAAAAAGAATGAGCTATGTCATCAGGGCCATTTAAAATTAATCACCGTCATTAATTTTTCAATCTCGTCTTGTGTGTCGCAGGTTTTCATCGCTCGCTCGCTCGCCACGCTTCTTAGCAAGCACGCGTCGCGACCGCGTCGGCACCGGTGGCGATCGTTTTCAGAGTCGCCGTTGAATGTTTTACCGTTCTCGCAGTCGCCCTCACGAACGCCCCCGTGCGTGTGCGCACGTTGGCAGGAGGGGGGCGGGAGGCGGCATCGTTGGGACCGTGCCCGTGGCCCGGCGTGGTATTTGCAGCGCGCCGATGTCTGCTGTCGGAGGAGCTGCGTTCGATCTTTGAAAAAGAGAAGCGGCCGCTTTCGGCTGTCACGGCTGGCTCGCGACCGGCTCGGCTGCGCATAGCAAGCCCCTCGCTTTGGGGAAGGGAGTAATCTCCGCCCCATCCTCGGGATGTCAGGAGTGCACCCGTGCGGTGTTTTGATTTACGTCTCGTTTGCGATTTCATTTATTGTTTAGTTTACTTTGAATGTTGTCACGCTGGTTTCAGTCTGGATGCAGATCGCATCTATTTGTCGCCATGTGCGCTTGGTAATAGAGGTTTTGGGGGTGGTGTTGCTTAACCTTCATGCGCAGTTTGTTTTGTTTTTGTAATTGCAATATCTGAGCATTAGTTGCGGTTTATTCGACTTGCACTTGGGATGCCGGCTGCAGCAGCTCGAGAATTTCGCTAACTCGTTGCTTAAACGAAAGACATAGTGCCGGTGATTACCTACTGATTTGTGAATACGTCTTTGTCCGTCTTTATATTGGTTTTAGTCATCGTGCAAAAGAGGGGGTGGCTCCGCTTTGGCAAGTTTTTTGTTTTTCATATCACGATTGCCGAGCATTGGAATCAGAGGCCCAGAAACGCCAAGTGGCCAGCAACAAAACAGGTGCCACACGTAGACGTTTAGATGTTTAGACGTTTATACGTTTCAACGTGGGGAAAGAAACGATGGGAGGCAGGTGGGCGGGGGGGGGGGTGAAGAGAAGCGTTTGGTTTTGCGCCGTGGTGGTTAAACCCGAAATCAAACGGCTCGGAGGGCTGCAGTTGGACAGGCGCGAATGAGGAAAGGAAGGAATAGGAGGTAATTGTGGGTGGCGGGGCCCTTTGCCCCGCAGTGGAGAGCTACAGGCTGACAACGACAACAAGAACATTGGGCACACGTCTGTAATCCAGCGTTGTGTGGGCGAGGGTTGCTGCACCGCACAAACGTGATACTCCCTTGCCACGGACGTCGAGTTGCCATACCCTGGCCCACCAGGAGAAGGTGGCACATTAAAGTGCAGACTCATATCATCTGTCCCTTCTGGACGTGGTGTTTTTTTCCCCAGTAACTGCGGTTTCGTCCCACGTGTGTAAACGCTCATTGATTTTCTGAAAACATCTGCATATGTGGAGGACTGCAGAGCTTGGGCGATTGTTGGCACCGTCTAAGCTGCCTTCCAGCATGTCCGTGGTTCCTCAACGATTGTGAGATGAATATTTCATAAGCGACACTTTAAAATGCTTATGCATTATTATTAACATTGTGTAGATTAACTGAAATCGTCCCACGATGTCTTCTTGTCCACACTGTTTAACCACCACACTGCAAGTCACTACACTTCTATCCCTGCTTCTTCCCCCGCACTGCTCCCTCCCATCGTCTTTTACCCGCAAGTGTTTGTAACGTTGTTCAACCTAAGACGCGTTCACTCTTTATCCATTACAACTGGGATGGGGCCGCTTTCCAGCTTGACGTTTTGATACCTTTTTGGGCCCTGTGCTCTGCAACTGTGTCGAGGTGCGAGCCGTGAGCCACTGGCATGTGAGCGCGAGCGAGCTGACGGTCGCGTGGGCGTGCGTGCGTGTGTGTGTGTGCCTCGCGCTGCATGCAGGAAGGCCATCTCTAGGTCGGGCATGCAGCACCTGGCCCCCGTGTCGCTGATCGGCCCTGGGCCCCCCGCCTGCCTCCCCTCCACTGCGCCCAAGGACCCCACGGACAGAGAGGCACGCAGCATTGTCGACTGGAACGTACGTCCCTCGCGCATTTCACTTGGCTACTTATCGGTGTGTGCGGGGCGATGTGGTCCGCTGCATCGCACGTTCACCGCCACGCGCGCTTTCAGATGCGCTTTCGCGGCCCGTCTGGAACGCTCTTCAATTCTGACGTTCGGAAGCCACTGGATCGGTGCACTTTTAAATCATCTAGATTTAAAACAGATTTCTTGAGAACTGCTCTTTGTGTTTAGTTTGTTGTGCTTCCTCCGCAGGTCCAATTAGTGCGGTTGGCTACGTATGGTGTGAAAGAAGTAAAAACAAACATGAAGCTGGTCATGTACGGTGCGAAATAAATTCAACAAACATACTTAGTGAAACCAGAGTCTGTGTACAACTAATAAACGGTGGCTTATGTGATAATATATCTGCTAAAAATATATATATTAACAAAATTTACTTCTTTTGGTAATTTTAAAGATGTTGGTACAACTAAAGCATTGTCATCTCAAGTGGTACCAACGAATACATTATTTGGACTTTGCCAATGATCTAATGAGATTTGTTCTGTTGGTGTCTGATTGACCAAGTAAGAACTGGGGTAGTCTTCATTGTTGTTGGTGGCCCTGAGCAATTGGGTGGAAAGTCCACGTTTCTGTGGCGGGCGCCATAGGAATGTGGAATGGAATGACCCTTTGTGTCACCGTCACTTGAGAATCAACGTGGATATAATTTTATATCCCGCTGCGTAGGTTCTCGCCGCTGTGCTGTCCGGCTCGTGTTTGCGGGTTGGTGCTGCGTGTTGTTTGGCAAACGATCTGTGGCACGTTCCGTTTCACATTCCTCGAGAAGCCAGCACGTGGAGAGCAGCATGTCCAACACGTGTGTGGCACGACCGGGAAACACATTGGAAAGGATCTGCGTAGACTTTCTAAATCTAGACGTATATATGATTGATTTCTGTTGGTGGGAGAGATACAGTGGAAACCCCTCTTAACGATCACCCCTGTTAACAACTAATTGTTTAACGACGGGCCTCCACGGAGCCCACTTTGTGTAGTGTATAGTGTAGTGTATAGTAGTGTAGTGTATAGTGTTGTGTATGGTAGTGTATAGTAGTGTAGTGTATAGTAGTGTAGTGTATAGTAGTGTATAGTATTGTAGTGTATAGTGTAGTGTATAGTAGTGTATAGGTTAGTGTATACTAGTGTATAGTAGTGTAGTGTATAGTGTAGTGTATAGTAGTGTAGTGTATAGTAGTGTATAGTAGTGTAGTGTATAGTAGTGTATAGGGTAGTGTATAATAGTGTAGTGTATAGTGTAGTGTATAGTAGTGTACTGTATAGTGTTGTGTATGGTAGTGTAGTGTATAGTAGTGTAGTGTATAGTAGTGTAATGTATAGTATTGTAGTGTATAGTGTAGTGTATAGTAGTGTATAGGTTAGTGTATACTAGTGTATAGTAGTGTAGTGTATAGTGTAGTGTATAGTAGTGTAGTGTATAGTAGTGTAGTGTATAGTAGTGTATAGTAGTGTAGTGTATAGTAGTGTATAGGGTAGTGTATAATAGTGTAGTGTATAGTGTAGTGTATAGTAGTGTAGTGTATAGTGTTGTGTATGGTAGTGTAGTGTATAGTAGTGTAGTGTATAGTAGTGTAATGTATAGTATTGTAGTGTATAGTGTAGTGTATAGTAGTGTATAGGTTAGTGTATACTAGTGTATAGTAGTGTAGTGTATAGTGTAGTGTATAGTAGTGTAATGTATAGTAGTGTAGTGTATAGTAGTGTATAGTAGTGTAGTGTATAGTAGTGTATAGGGTAGTGTATAATAGTGTAGTGTATAGTGTAGTGTATAGTAGTGTAGTGCTTCCATAGAGCCCAATGTGTTCGCTTACCGACCATTCCCCTGTTCACGACGGGCTGTTGTAGGTACAGTAAATATTAATTAATGCATTGATTAACTATGTTATTTAAATTATGATGTGTTTATAATGTTGTTAGTATCTTTATGTATTAATATCCATTGTTTAAATATTATAAAGTACGTTTTTTTTGGGTGAAAAAGGGTAACTTTTGATGCTATCACGACGATTTAAGCCTTTTACTTGTTTTTCCTCGACTCGCTGAACGACCAAATCACCTGATGACCGGTTCCGTGGAACCAATTATCGTCATTAGGAGAGCTTCTGCCGTATACAGGTCGTGACTTTTCAGACGACTGGGTTTCATTGGTCAATGCAATGAGATTGGCAACTGACGAAAAGAGTGATGTTAGTTTTTTTTTCATATGTAACTTTATCGAACACTTAGCCATGTGCACACAATGAGAAGACTCCGTTACACCTCAGACAACCCGCATGTTCACGGAACGACGTGATAAAACGAGAATCTCCGAACGCCGATAACTCATTGCACCCCCAGTGAGTCCATCATTTGACAGCACCCAACTTTCCTCCAAGTCGCAGCGCAAAGACAAACACACCCCCTATTACTTTAATAACGTGTTATTTTACGTTGTAAGTTCACTGAAGCGGCAACTTTGACAGATAAGAATGAAAAACAAGAATAGGTTTTAGTTTTTCTGGCAATAAAACAGGTCCTAAGATGTTCAAATAGATACATTTTTCAAGGCATCGAATCTGCGTTAACCACACGTACTTGTGGCAAAACATGCAAACAAAAATGCTCTGATGATATATGCATTGTCTTTGAAACATCTGTTTTGTTGCCAGGAAGGGTAAAACCTTTTTATTATTTTTCATTATTTTTTATACTGCCAAATAAGGTCCCATAGATTGACAACTAATATTTGTTTGGTTCCTGTGTCTTCCCCCTGCCCCCCTCCCGTCATCCCGCACCCCCCACCGTCTCATCTGCACGCAGGAGAACGCTTCCGTTGGGGAGCATCTGTGGTACGACGCCAGCGTGTCGGGCGACGTGTGCTACGTGGGAGAGGAGAGCTGCATGGCGAAGACAGCGGTCAGTAACATTGGTGCCCCCCACCGCCCCCCCCCCCCCCGTGTAACCCCCCACCTTATCACGTCGCACTCACGCGCACACACCCACATGATGTACGTGCCTTCGCCAAACTGACTCGGTTGTTTGGGTCGTGCAAATGGGTGCCACGGTGGCCAGATGTTAACTATCTCACCTGTTATGCAGGAGGTCGTGGGTTTAATCCCAACCCTGACTGCTGTATATTTGGAGTTTGCGTGTCCTCCCCGTGGCCGCGTGGATTTTTCTCCTGGTTTTTCCCTCCACATTTAGAAATGTGCGTTTAGCGTATTTGGCTGCTATAAATTTACACGTGATAAGCCACTTTGCTGAGCTATCATTTTGTGGCCAGGTCGCTTCTGAAAGAGAGCTATACAGCTCTGTGGGTCTTACCTGTTGAAATAAAACATGTTTCGTGGCTGCGTGCCGTTGCCACCGATACGGGCTGAGCGGGATTTTCCGTGAAACAAACGTTGTCTTTCCCCGCCCCACCGCACCTCCGATTAGGACGGTTGGCTATGTGCGGTGCGAAAGAAGTTCAATATACACACGTACATATTCTTGGTTCTTTCGGTAAAGTCACGTAGAAGGGAAATAATAAAATAATTAAAATATAAAACACTATTTTTTTATATTTGTATTCTTTTATTATTTTCCTTCTACGTGACTTTACCGAAAGAACCAAGAATATAAATCCCTGCAGTCTCGAAAGCTTTAAATCAAAATACACACGTACAGTTGATTTGAACAATCCACGCACTTCGACGGCCTCCACATAGCTCGCGCACAAAGTGTTTTCGGGTTGTGCTCTCGCGCGTCGCTCGGCACGGTATCTTACGTTTTCGCTCCACACACTTGGGAGCTTCTTCAGGAAGGGAATGTGAAGCGACGCCATCCGACGACGCGCTGGGAAGCCGTACGGCACAACATGTTTTGTCCGGCACGTCACACATGCTTCGAATACAATTATAAACACATCTCTCTCGACAATGCGTTAAACAGTCCTGATGTAAATCGCAAAGGAAAAATATTAGCGTACCATCATTACATATTTGTGTAAAGCAATTGAAAGTGCATAAATATGAAACATAGGACACTTTAAGCAGAGTACAGTATTCCAATTAAACCATCCATCTAAACACTTTAAATTTCAATTCCAAAAATGGCGATCGCTGGCGCGGGAAGGTAATTGGCTATGAAATGACATACAAATGCCGTCTTTCAGAATGGGTGCACGTGGAATGGTGTCCTGTGGTGCGTGACCCTCACACTTGCACATGGGAAAGAGGCGCCATCTGTCTTAGTTTCAGTGCTAACGGCACGCCGGCGTGCCTGGGATGTCTTCCAATATAGGACATCTGCAAATGTTTAAATGTCTTAAAGAGAGGGGTGACACACGCAGAGAGAAAACTAAATATCCGCGAGGAACTATTTGCCCGCAGCTGTAATACCGCTAACTAATTTTGCACCTGTGAAATAAAATATAGAATATTTTCAGAATCAGAATATTTATACTGGAGGAATCCGATGAGCTATAAAGCTCTTGTTCACAGATGTCCAGTAGTTTTCACAGATGTCCGCTAGATAGACTGCTGCGTTCACTTTCATTCCTAGCCCACGTTAACGTGGAATTGAAAATAAGCTAACAGGGCCCGCGTGGAGCTTATGGTGTCCGGGGCACGGCGTTGCTGTTGGTTCAACACGTGCGTGACGTTGTGCCCTTCGGTACTTTTGTCTTATCGTCTTGGAAAAGTGGCGTGCGGCGACACCCGGAGAGGCGGTGTGTGGGGAATGCTGGCCGCCACCGTCACTTTCGCCGCCGCTGTGCGTGGAGCACGTGGGCTGGAGCCGCTGTTTTCCCGATTGGCCGCTTACGCACCTCTCGTGCTCGGGTCACGGATTATAATTAAAGCTGTGGCATTTTGTTATTACGTAAGGGGCGCGGAGAGGTCACCGTGTGCCGAAAAGGTTGCCGCTCCGTTTTTTTTGGGATAAAAATAACAAGAAATCTACCCGTTTAATGTTTTCGCTCATTAGATACGCCTTTGCATAATTTTCGTGCATCATTTTCGGGAGAAATTACGCGCTTTTCACAACCGTAAGCTTTAATAAATATCGGAAGGCCTCTGTGCGTTGTTTGGCAGCCGTCGCGCGTATCCACAAATAAGATTTCGCCCCCCGTCGAATTCCAGCGTTAAACGTTACACGAGTGCCCTCTTGTGCTTCCTCCGAGTTAAGGCTCACGCGAGGCACCTGCGCCATTTCCACAGCATCCTTCTTCTCGAACAGCTTTTTCGTTCCCACTTGAGGACCTGGTTCGCATCCCGACTATATGGGCCGAATCGTGTCACCTGGGCGGTTTGTGTAGCTGGCGGTGGTGGTGTAAAATTTCGCGGGGTTCCCCCCCCCCCCCCGGAAAAATGGGAACATTCACCAACAACAAGGCATGGAGTCAGGTCTATTGTGTAAACTTGTAGCATTATTTGGTGTTCCCAGTGGGAGAATTTGAAATGGTCCCTTGCAGCCACGGTTGGATCGTTTTATGGCCTCAGGTGCCTCCGAGGTAAAGGTGAAACGTAGTCATTGTCTGCGTGTGCTTGGAAGTCGGGAGTCGTTGGTCGATACGTGTACAAACTCTTGTTATCGTCGCTCACCGTTGTATTTCTCTCCCCTTTGTCGTTTTTTAGCAGAAATCTCTGCCAAGGAAAAAGTGTGCCGCATGTAAGATAGTTGTGCACGTGGCCTGCATTGATCAGCTGGCCAAAGTGAGTGCTGTGTGGGGCTGCAGCGCTGCTCTGAGCCTCGGTGGGAATGCGTGTGAACCAGCGACGATTGCCATACCTGTCAACCCTTTATCAGCACCTACCTTGTTACAGACCAATTCAGACCTTATTGGTCACTCCGTGCCCTTATAAATCTCAACGTTCATCCTACCAAGTCCCATCACAAGAGAGAAACACAAACAAATAGACAAAATTATTATTTTGTGCCCGCATTGAAACGTCTGTACGCGGGTATGGACCTGAATACTAAATTTCCCTGTACAAGAATACAGATAAACCTTATGGGTTGACAGGTATAGATTGTCCCTGTGTCTGCAGTTATATAACAGATCATGAAATTAAATTACAATTCATTGTTTTTCTAAAATTAATTGCAGTTTAAAGAAATATGTTAAACTTGTTTAACAGTTGTCACTTTGATGTACAAAACATATCTTTGAATAATTCGATGAGGATGTCCACTGAGTCGCAGAGCGGTGAAATCCTCCTGCGGGTAAGTGCTCGGGGGTCGTTCCATAACACGATTGTGTTTTGTAATTTTTTAAAATAAATATTAACTTGATAAACGAGCGAGGTCTTGCAATACGAGTAGTACGTGTATACGCTTTGTCTGCCGAGCGTCACGTGATCACAACTGATATACGAGTGCTTTGGATTACAAACATGCTTCCGGAACGAATTATGCTCGCAATCCAAGGTTTTACTGTAATTGTATAACCATTTCTAACTGACTGTAACATCATTTCTCAACTATTCACCTCATAACACTCACATCATCATAATCATCCATTGACCTACAACTCGGCGTTCAAAGTCCACCCGCAACTTCTTTTCCGAACTCGTCTCGGGCAGCAGCGATGCTCGACGCGATGGAGATGGGCGGTCGGGCCGGTGCGTACGGAACCTGCGTCCGGCGGGGGCATTGTTAAGCGCGCGCCTTTGTTGAGCCGTCCTATTTGAGACGTCCGCCTGCATTCGGATGAGGAGGATGTGTGGGAGGCTCGGTGTTCTTGCCTTTTGTTTCCTGCAGATAAATTTCCGCTGCAAACCCACCTTCCGTGAAGCGGGCTGCAGGAACATCCGAGAGGTGGGTGTTGTGCGTCGACCCGCCACTCTGGGTGGGGGGGGGGCTGTTTGTGCCGTGAGTCATTTGTGCGATTTGTTACGCAGTAATTCCCCTCGTTATTTGTGAACTTGGGCTATCCGCTATTTTGGCTGCCCAGCGAATCGCATCTGTAACTCGACAAGGACTGCTGCGCTGAGAGAGGGGGAGAGGAAGAAAGCGATGAGAGATAAAGTGACGAGAGAGAAAATGACGAGGTAAACAGATGTGTTATTATGAAAATGTTCGCGTGTTTAATGGCGTATGTATTAATTTAAGGTAAGTAATTAATTAGGTCAATATCATTATCGGCGACATTTTCTATTCACGAGCATCTCTGGAACGTATCCCTCGCGCATAACGAGGGAATGCTGTATGCGCCGGTTTGTCGCACGCGTGATACGCTGTGCAGCTTCGATGCGTGCGCACGTTATTTTGTCTTCGTGTATGTGAAAGCGTATACGAGCAGAAATTCCGCGTCTCTCCACATGTTTTATTTGCAAGATATGTTTCGGTTCATGGGCCTGTTGGCTTTGCAGGCCAATTTTGTCTGGCAGTGTCGTCCTTGCAAGCAAGCAAGTAAGGGCTAGATCGGTTTTGACCTTGAAGTTCTCATCAGCAACATTAGGCTTGTTAACCGATATAAAAATAGCAGACATCATTGGGAAGAGCACTCTATTTAAAGTCTGGCAGTAGTTTACGTGCAGGCATTATTGTATAAAATGTAACCTGTATGTACGTATAGGCAATAGTTAGATTTAGTAGAATCGCAAAGTGTACGTATGTATGTTGAACTTCTTTCGCACCATACGTAGCCAACTGTGGTAATCGGAGGTGCGGGGGAAGAACAAAAAACCAAACACAAAAAAGCAGTTCTAAAGAGATGAGTTTTCAATCAAGATTTGAAAGTGTGTGTAGCTCCAGTGGCTTCCTAGTATCAGAATGAAGAGCATTCCAGACAGCTGCAGAAGCGCATCTGAGTGGCACTTCGTGTGACTAGTAATTCCCACCAATTCAGACTGATTCACAGGGAGGTAATGTGTCCAGATTTCCTGATAAGGGATAAGCGCTCACAAATTACCACGGTGCCCCACGTACTCAGACAAATGACTTTGCCATCCGCACTGGGATGGTGATGGGGAGTTTAGTTTTGTGTACGTGTCAAGCCGCTGACTTATTGCAGAAATAAGCAATGTTTTCTAAAAACGACGTGATCATCTGCAAAATTGCACCGCGTATTTGTGTTATTAAGATGACCAAAACGTTGACTGCGAGGTGGCCTCATTTGTGGGTCTGCCCACCTACGCTCGTGTTACGGGGCCTCATCTGCCAGAATGTGTTGGCAACAGCGCCGCTGATTTCTCGGGCCTGCGTTGGCAGCTGCGTTAGAAAGCGCAGGCTGGAAAGACTATCCCACCGTTGGCACCAATAAAGTCCGACTTAATAAGCCGAGCTATCGCGCGATCGCATTTTCCCACGAGGAGTAAGTGGAAAGGCAATGATCCGGGTCGCGAACGTGATCCCCGGTGGCGGCACGGTGCTCTTACAGGCTCGTGAAACGGGTCGCGTGAAAGGTGCGCTCGTACACGCAGACTCTACCCACGCAATTCACGGTGCAGTTTATGGATTCGGAGCGCGGCGTCGAAATGCGACCGTGTGTCAAGATGCTGCGCGAAAACGGCGCGACGTTCGTTGGGGATTGAAGAAAAGTAGGCGTAGGCACCCAGAGCTCTCTCTAGTCGGGGCGCTTCTATCCGCCGTGGCGTGAGTGGAAGGGTGGGAGAAGAGGAATATCTTAAACCTGGCCTTGAGTAACAACCAACATCGCATCCGTATAGCTCCTTTCAGGACAAAGGCCCCTGAAAAACTGGGATGATATAAAAACAACTTATTGTTCATAAAGATATTACAAAAAAAGACTTGTTGAACACACACGTTTTCGGGAGTGATGTAACGATGGACGCTGAATCTGCAGATGTCGCTGAGGTGGCTAAGGAGTTCTCAGGCTTGGGAGCCGAATATGAAACGGTTCGATCTGGCGAGCGCCTCGTCAACGGAGTAAACGGCTGGGGACGTTACGAGACGGGAGATCGGTTGGGTGAGGGGGAGAACTATTGTTGCGCATTGCGAGTTACAAAGTAGAACTTTGAAGGCGACTAAGAAGACGAAGGCAGATTTCTTAAGACTTTGTCAACAAACTCTGGCGGCAGCATCAGCAATTTGCACAACATGTAGCCGGTGCAATTTCTTGGTGGACATCCCAATAAAGAGAGCATTGTTGTGGTCACATTGGCATGAAACAAACGAGGGCCTACAACAAACGGTCGACAGCGTGGACGGCCGTTGGGAGGGAAGTCAGGGGCAGGAGAGCAGAGCCTGTGACCTCCTTAATCAGCGGGTCACTCCACACAACGTGTGCAGCTATAGGGAGGACATTAGGGGGGGGTTGGAGGCGGGATGGGGAACACGGCTTTCAGTTCCACGTTGTTGTTTGTGGGTTTTTTTACGAGGCGACAGATGCACACGTGGGCCGTCGTCGAGTGAGTAAACGAGACTGCGGTTCGAAGTGGCGTTTTTATCAAACCTGCTGCTGCCACCAGATGGCGGAATTGAAAGCCACGCAGCTCGTCTCGAGGGAAATAGGCTATTGCCTGGCAGCCCAGCGCTGTTACATTTGTCATCCGCAAATTACGCGTTGCCCTCCTGCCGGTTCGAGCAGTCAGTCGGTCGGCCGCGCGATTTTCCCTCTGCCGCCGCATGGGTATGGCTGCGAGCGTGGCAAGTCAGGAGCACGGAGTGCGTCCGTTTGCAAGCGGCAGCTGTGTCCATGAGTGGCACTGTAACCTTTTGCAGTTTTGCCGTTGCCCCACTGAGGAGAGACGATACAGCCGTTCCGGTTTTGTGGCGTTAACCAAAAGCACCTGATACAACTTGATAAAGTGCCACTGAAACCGTACACTTTTTTTTTTAAAACACCGTTTCCTTTTTGAATGCCGGTGTTAGCTGCCAAGTCGGCTGTGGCCCCTGCGGCTATTTGGGTATAATTCCCCTACAGCAGGGTTCTTCGGTTGACAATCCCACTAAGGCCAAATCTGGCTCGCGAAGGCCCTTGGGGAGAGGCCCACCAGCAGTATGTGGCTCGCCGAGACGCAGAGACAACAGATTTGGGGAGATGTAACCGAGATGACGAAACGATGGAGAGGAGGTGTGAGCTCGAGTGATGAAGCGCCGCCGCATGTTTGTGGCCAGGCGCGCAAACGTTGTGACGGCACAGCACCGTGTGATGTCATGACGTCCACATTTGACACTGCGATGTTCCGCGGCCTGCCAACGCACGCTTATTTTACGACGTGGGCACCCCCCCCCACTCCCCACCAGAGAATACAGCGCCGGCTGCCGCTGCAGAGAATTCCACCGGAACACTGAAATCTCTCGAGGAAGCGTCCGCTTGTCCATTTTACGACACATCTCACGCTCTACTTCTCCGCACCCAGTGACGTAGCGAGGGCAGGTCACAGGTCGGGCAGGGGAGGGTGGGGTGGGCAAGGCGTGCGGTGGGGGGGGGGGCGTTTCAGGCACCCCTTCCGGGGGGCCACTGCCCCCCATTGTGTAGCAGAATTGTTGGAAACGAAGCAACTTACGTAAAACTATACTTTTTTTTTATTTTGACCAGGTAAGGCCCCACTGAGCTACCATGTAGCTCTTTCTCAGAAGCGACCTGGCCACAAATGATAGCTTAGTAAAGTGGCTTATTGCGTGGAAATTTATAGCAGCCAAATACTCTAGACGCGTTTTGATTCTAAATGTGGAGCGAAAAACCGGAGGACCCGGAGAAAAATTCACATGACCTACAGGGAGAGAGACACGCAAACTCCAAATATACAGCAGGCGTTCAGGGTCGGGATGAAACCCACGAGCCTCCTGCACACCAGGCGAGGGAGATAACATCTCGGCACTGCCGCCACGCAATTGCTTTGGTGAGGCGCTTCTCTGTGCACCAGCGGGAATGAGCGTGTGTAGCCGATGGTGATTCTGGACGCTTGTTCTCCTGGATATTTTTGGAGCCTCCAATGGCTCATTTGGATGTTTTACAACGCTGCGTCCTGTTTTGAAACGCCGATGAAAACCAAAACCGCAGAACGTCTGCAAAAAAAGGTCCCCCGTTGGACAATCATCGTGCTAATCGCGCCGTGCGCAATGTCTCTGGCCTGCAAATCTCTTATCGCAATTGAGCGCTTGATGTGCACTGTTCCGAACGAGGCTCATTCCTCGAAAGGCATCGGCCAATTATGCATATTTTTAAAAATCTTCTATGCTCACCAGTACGACATGAAATCAGTGCGTACGTTACCTTCAAGTTGTATATCGCTCCCCGTTCAACCGTGGCGCTACCATCGCAATGTTGTCAATTCGCCAGCAGAGGGCAGGGCTCGCTGCTAATTTGACACATCCTACAAAATGCTGCTCCTGCACAGTATTGCCCTTTACAGCAATACTGTGCATCCCACGTCCCAATATATATAAAAGCAACAGTGTATTCAGCAGAACTCATTTGCAGTGGCTGTCTGTCTTAGCCTGTGACGTGTACTTATTAATGAGCTGGCCTTCCTTCACCAGTCTTCCTCAAGCCTGCCCGATGCCAAATCTGGCCTCCAAGAGGAAGACGTTTTTGCTCTCTGACCCCTGCCAGTCCAACTGTGGCGCTATCCGTGACCACACAACCAGTGGCACGAGATAAAGCACAGCGGCACTGACGATGCTTTGTGTGGTGATTTATGAGTCGATGATGGGGGGTCGTGGAGAGGCGGAGACCTCTAAGGTCGCATCTCCGAGGTGCAAAAAAACCAAGACATATCTTGGGAAGAAGAATATCTCGCTGTGCCATGAGAGGGGGAGAAGTACGTGTCAATGCATTGTCTTGAGTGGTGTATTATTGTTGTTATCGCCGTGCAAATGACAGAAACCGAGACTTTTAATGTCCCGGGAAGACGTAGAGATTTCCAACAGCTGATGAGATGTCTATTGTGGAAGCTGGGTGGTGTGATGGTGGTGGAATTGCTGATGAGTTGTGCGTTGTGGAAGCTAGGTTATTGTGGTGGCGGTGTGTTCGCTGATGAGATGTCTGTTGTGGAAGCTAGGTGGTGTGGTGGTGGTGAGCTTGCTGATGAGCTGTGCGTTGTGGAAGCTAGGTTATTGTGGTGCGCGGTGTGTTCGCTGATGAGATGTCTATTGTGGAAGCTGGGTGGTGTGATGGTGGTGGAATTGCTGATGAGCCGTGCGTTGTGGAAGCTGGTGGTGTGATGGTGGTGGAATTGCTGATGAGCCGTGCATTGTGGAAACTAGGTTATTGTGGTGGCGGTGTGTTCGCTGATGAGATGTCTGTTGTGGAAGCTGGTGGTGTGATGGTGGTGGAATTGATGATGAGCTCTGCATTGTGGAAGCTGGGTGGTGTGATGGTGGTGGAATTGCTGATGAGCTGTGCGTTGTGGAAGCTGGGTGGTTGTGGTGCGCGGTGTGTTCGCTGTTGAGATGTCTGTTGTGGAAGCTGGTGGTGTGATGGTGGTGGAATTGCTGATGAGCCGTGCGTTGTGGAAACTAGGTATTGTGGTGGTGAGCTCGCTGTTCCAGTGTTTGTTAAGCATATGGCTTTAAGCCCACAAATTGATCCACGCTGCTACGACGCTGAAATTCTCATCACGCAGAGATTGACGTTGAAGTGCAGTACAACACTTTTGTGCGTGCTCTTTTATTCGAGCAAAGCTGCAGCAACATGAGGCAACTGGCAGAAGTAGGGTCAAAATTCAACCAAACCCCCTTGAAACGCTTGACAGTCTAACATTCAACAATATCACGTGGTCGCAACAACAAACATTGTAAAGGAAAATGCATCTCGCAAACGCAAGTGAGACAAAAGACGAATAGAATTAAGTGGATAATATGTTACGAACAGTTTTCTCTGACCAGTAAACTCCATCTCGTGCCTCTGTGTCTTGCGTCGCCATGGCAACTGTTGCCGGGGTGCAGGTGACGTCGGGAGATGTGCCGGAGGAAGAGCGCTTACACGGCACGCCGTTTGTAAGCCGGCTCGATTTGTCCGAAGAGATAGCGCGCACACCCTTATAACGTGTCTCTGCTGCTCGCCGGATGTTAATAAGCCAGGCTTGTACTCCCCGTTAGCCGCTTGAACGGTCGGCACGGACAGAACAATGCGAGCACGTTGCCTGCCCCCCCCACACCCCCCGATTGATTCTCTGTGCAGTTTGTGGCGTTAATAATTTGTAATAATCCACGAATGTGGTTGACAATCGCAGCTCCGCTTAAGGTCGTTGGACCTTGTTGATCCGAGCAGAGGAGCTTGCGCGGACCTTGAGCAAAGACGGGGGGGAACCCCTTGTCGGTCCATCGACCGTGGAAATTGGAAAATTTCGCGAGTGGTATAAATTGACGCGTTGTTTCGTGAAATTGTAAAAGTGAAGAGTTTGATTTTTTCTTTTTCTCTCTTCATCATTTTATTTCATCGCAGCATGGGAATTTCCAAAACACGATTCGGTGTCTCGTGGAAAACAAAATTCTCATGTTATTTTTTTCTTTCATTTGCGCAACGTCGTAACAAGTGGGCACACGCATATCCGCTGGAGTTGCATCGAAAAGCCATCGACTTGAGTCTCTTTGCTCACAAGACGGCGCCTGTCACGATGAAAAAGGATGTGAAAAATATAGTCTTGGGTGATTTGAGATTAATGCCAAAAAAAAAAACCTAAGTTCTGCTTTGCTCGCTCCCCACGTTTCCGTAGAGGTTCGCGAAGGAAGAAAATTGTTGGTTTTTTAAAAGAACACGCCTACCCCTAATGCCTCTCTGCACCCTCTAAGCATTCATCTTTGTTTGTTTCCTAAAGGGCAACGTCGTATAATAAGGAACAAATTGTAATATTCCCAATGCATGTGTGTCAGAGTAAATTACGTTTAATTACTAAATTAATATTAAATTACCTATCGAATTACCCTGAATGCACCCGCCTCTTATCAGAGGTGGATTGAGCATGGTCATTGCCTGGATGGGTGACAACCAATGCATTACCACACTGTAGGCATATCGCTATGAGGGCCGGGAGATGGTAGTACAGCAATGGGTTCAGTCCACAAAGAGATTTGGTCCACTCACAACATCGAAGTCTGCCTGTGGATTAAATCCATCTGTGTGGAGCTTTGGGAGCCAGCCTCACGTATATTGCTTGGGTTTTCTCCCGAGTGCCCTGGTTTTTTCTCACATACCAAGCATTCATTAATGGGATCGGCCAAATATCTGAATGGTATGACCCTCCTGAAAAAATAGTTTTGGGGCTCGGCGAAGCATTTCTTAGAAATTCATTGCTGTTAAACTAGTGTGTGTGTGCGCATTGAATATCATTTTTTCAAGGTAACGTGTCAGTGTTAATTAGGCAGTGTAATTATTTACGATGTAACTGCATGTAAGCAGCCATTTGTCAGTCCACTGTTGGATGAAGAGTTCCCCACGTCTTGTCAGCCGTCTGGGTTGTTTCACCATATTTCACCACGCTGGCCAGGGCGGTGAAGGGGATGCGCCCAGGGCCGGTTGCCACGGTTGCGTGGATTTTTTTTCTCCAGGTCCTCCGGCTATTCCCTCCAACATTTAGAATCGACGTGCGTTTAGAGTATTTGACTGCTCGAAATTTCCACACGATGATAAGCCACTTCGTTGGGTTATCATTTGTGGCCAGGTCGCTCCTGAAAAAGAGCTACATAGTTAGTTGGGCCTTACCTGGTAAAACACAAAATTGTTTCGTTTTCATAGTTAGTTTTCAAATATCACCATCCACTGCTGTTAGCCATGGTCGAGAATGGAACTCGGGCCGACCACAGTGCCACCACTTCATCCCCATTCCGGGTACACACCACTTGTCTATGAAATGTTGGTAGATTTATCTCTCTGCATAGCAATGAATTCAGAGCTGAAACCATTGAGTGCATGCAAATTTACTTTTGTTGTCTTGCAACGTTCTTGTACCCAATTTGGCAAAGGAATGCTTTTAACTTTTAGGGACAGGAGCCTTCTGTGGTACATGGAATTCTTATTAGTAGTAGTATCATTGTCATTTATGATGACGCTTGTTTGCAGAGTTTCAAGACTTATTTTTTGGTTCAGGAGGGTCCTGCATTTAGGGGGAAATGTTGCCGCGTGTAATCCCAGTGGAGTAATTTTCAGCTAATTTATTTTAGATTTTGGGATGTTTGGCCAATACTTGTTACATTGTGTTTTTTGAAAACATTTTTTTAGCCAAGCCCTTGGAAGCGGGACTTTTTTTTTTATCTCATTGCACGTTTTTTTTTGTAATCTACATACACTACTTTCATGAAGTCCTCACAGAAATGTTGTCAGGTCATAATGCAATGCCCTCTCTTGGCAGGCAATTGCTTGATTGCCCCGAGCCAATACTCATGCGAAATAGCCGCGTATATCTGACATTCTAATGACCGCCGAAAGAGGATCAACTGTATCCCGGCGCATTACCCAAATGACGCGTAAAATCGCAAACGGAACGACCTCGGTGTAATTCTGTTTTAATTAACTGTGCCACTTATGTCTGCCACTGGGGAAGGCAAGAATAATACTAATTCGAGCACGATGTGTGTAAATGTTTAGCGGAGAGGGTCCAATGATCAGTGAAATGTCATTCTTCCAGCCATTAAATTATCGTGATGATCTCACAATGGGCAACGGGGATCATATTAATGATTTTTTTGCTAACCTGGTGCTCCATTAGTGGGGCCTGTAATTTTGTGAGAGTAATTAGTGGGTTGTCTTGCCCGTCGAGTTGACAGCATTTCAGCCAAATGATTACGGAATTAATATTCCGAGCGTGGAGCAATTTGGCTTCCGGCAAGCGCCAGCTTTGCTTGACATCGGGTCGTGTCAGATTTGATTCCCCCCCCACCAACCCCCCCACCTCCAAAAATATTTACTTTTATTACTTTTAATACAAAGTCCTGCTCCGATTTCATTGCAGCCATCCTTTGTGCGCCACCACTGGGTCCATCGGAGGAGGCAGGACGGGAAGTGCAAACAGTGCGGAAAGGTGAGAGCAATTTGGGCACTGTCACCCAGATTTGGGACATTTCGATGGGCAAATTTTAGCCTGCGGCCAAGAACGGGTCCGGACTCGCTCTGATGTCACACCAGGGTTATTTTTCCCATGAAGTGCCGGCTTGGAATGACGGTCGCCCCGAGGTTTGTATTTTTCACACTTTGACAAGCGCAAGTGAATTGGAGGTGGCACGTTGGTGGCTTGGGACTCGGGAGCACTGGAGCTTGGCCACAGCTTTGGATCCTTGGTTGTCGAATCTAGGATTTGACAAACTGGGTTCTCAAGTGTATGCGAATTGATGCAAAAAAAACCATCACGTTAAATTTGGTTCCTTTTTTAATGTGCCAAATTCCACCTACGATCGTTCTACAATTTTATTTGACTGACATTCGGCTAATACCTCCGTAGCGTGGTGTTGGGGAAAGATTTGCCAGCACTGTTAATGTATGAATTAAAAAAGGCAACTTTTTTGGGGGTGCACTCTCAGCAGTAGTTCTGTGAAATCCCCTTCTAAGCGCCCATTGTCTTAACGCGGGGTGACACACTGCTCACTGCGGAAGTCCCGTAGGAACGCTTTATCGCGTGGCATGGGCAGATGTAGCGACGATTGGAATACATTTGGAGGAAAAGACGAAGAAAAAAACACTGCAAATGAACATGATGTCGTTTTGAAGAAATGCTCTGAATACCGGAGCAGCCTGACGTTCTGCTCTGTCCCTTGCAGGGTTTCCAACAGAAGTTCGCATTTCACAGCAAGGAGATTGTCGCAATCAGCTGCTCTTGGTGTAAACAAGCGGTATGTATGGAGGGCCTTCCATTCGTTCACTCACCTATACTTCCGCGACGGCTACTTGCGTTGTGGCCGAAACGTCGTGACAATTATTTTATTATGTTTAATTTTTATTATTTTATTATTTCCCTTCTATGTGACTTTACCGAAAGAACCAAGACGATGAATCCCTGCAGTCACGAAAGCTTTAAATCGATACTTTCTGCTTCATTTCGTTAGCCCGAGTGCAACATTGGCCTTCCGAACGTTCGTTTTACGGTTTATATGAACACCGGATCGTGATTTGTTCTCGCAGGTAGTACGACTCAATGCGTGACTCTTGGTTGTATCAATTTAATCGATGGCATAATGCATAGTTTCTGCTATGACCGTGGGTTTGGCACTCGCAAAAAACACAGGGGTTTCAGCTTACCTTACAATCCTCACGGATGGCTCCCGTCTTCATCGCATTACTATTTAAGTGCGTACACGTGGTTAATTTCACGAAGTGATCGTAATTATCCTTGCTTACCTTGATACGTTTACTCCCACCGTTGATCGAGTGAGAGTGGGGTGAGCCAGCGAAGATGAAGGCGGACGTGTTCTTTTTCTGTGCTGCAAAATTTTCTATTTTTGGTCCAAGGATAATTAATGAATGTGTTCATTTTCCCATCTATTAATGTATAATTCGAATGAGGTTTTTTGATAAAGGAGATGCTATCATTCATAAGTCTTACACTCTCCTTTTCAATCATCTTCCCCAGAATTATAAAAAAAGATTCGGGAATTTGATTGATTGTGTCCATGTGCATATATTGAGATAAACGGTTTTGCCTGGAACTTTCCTGAGGCTACGTTGCCATGAAAGCTCCCGGTGTCGTTGGACCTCGGAAGATAAAGCCGTTTAAACCCTGACTTGATGATCGCCCGGCTGACCACCAGCGACAACCACGCGGTGCAGGCGTGGGGCCTACGAGGTAGCCACAAGATGTCGACACAGTCATGGGTTCAGTCCTCGAGATGATTCGTGAGAGAGACACCTGTGTGGAGATTTGAGATGAGGCCTTCCAGGGAAATAGATAGAATAATGGTTCAAATATAATGGTATAAAATATAATCCAGAACGAAATGGTTGAAACGGGTTAATCTAACTGGTTAAAATATAGTCTGTGTCACTTTGGCAGTGCACGAGTGCATGATGACCTTGACATGTCGTGTCCATCATGAGAGTTGTTCGACCATATTTGATCACATTACCCAGTGGGGTGTTGGCAAATTGGAGGGTGCAGGGGTGGGGGTGGGGGTGCGATAGGTTCAGGTGACCGCTCGCCACTGCCACGACCGGGAATCGAACTCGGCTCGCCAGGTCCGACGCTCGGCGCACGAACCTCTTCGCCCCGGGTCACGGACAGGTCCGTTGTCGCTGTGGCTGCGCGTGGCTCTTCTCCGTGTTGAATGCTGCCCGTCGTCTCCCCGCTCCGCAGTACCACAACAAGGTGTCCTGCTTCATGCTGCAGCAGATCGAGGAGCCGTGCTCGCTGGGAGCGCACGCCGCCGTCATTGTGCCTCCCACGTGGGTCATACGCATGCGGAGGCCGCAGGTACTAGAGTGCGCACGTGCGTGCACGTGTGTGCGTGTGTTTTCGTGTGTGTGTGTATGTGCGCGTGTGTGTTTTCGTGTGTGTGCGTATGTGTGCGTGGGTGTGCGTGGGTGTGCGTGCGCGCACGCGCGCATGTGTGATTGAGAGCGAGCGTGCGCGCGCAAGAGTTGGACCATGTGTGAGCGAGCGTGTGTGAGTGTGGGGGGGAGCGGTAGTGTAGCAGTTAGCGCGCTGCGCTATGAACCTCGCGATCCCGGGTTTTGATTCCTGCTCACGGCCACTAACACCAGTGACGACTCAAATGAGCACCCGGTGCGATGTGTAAATATTGGCACTACGAAGACAAAGGCGGGTGGGCGGGCGTGGTGCTGGCCACCCACCCCCTCGTGTGCCGTGCCATGCCTTCATAGGTGCTCACTAACAGCACTTTCTCCGATAGTATGTTAAGGCTACACGGAGGATCTCTGTCTATGTGAGTGTGCGATAGTGAATGAGCATGTTGTGACTTATGCAAGGGGCGATAGTGTAATGGTGAGTGCGCTGATCTTTTAACCTGGCAACCCCAGTTTGATTCCCGCTCACAGCCAGCATCGGTTATCTTGCATCAGACATCACATCCATATCCCCAAATCTAACTCTCCAATCCTGGTTTTCCTTATTTTCTTTTTTTCACGGTAATGTGTCTTAAGCACGTGCCTTTGATGCTATCTGTGGCGCCTCGTGGCCCCATTGTGGAACTTAGAATGCGCTGTAAATGATAAGATGTATCTCACTTGTGCCTACAAGGATTTTTTTTAGATGAATAAATGAATAATGAATTTGTGAATTGTAGTTCCGAGTCGAGCGGTGAATGCGAATTCCGTCGGCAAGGTCACTACGAAAATAACACCGCCCCGGCCGTCGGCTTGACATCCCAGCTGTGAAACATTTTAAATGGCTTTCCCAGCACGTGGAGAAAAACGTCGGACATCGTGCCAATGCAAACGCACGGCACAACCCGAAAACACGTCGGAGAGCCGTGCAGTGCAGCAGCGAAAACCTACGCAGCAGTAACATTTTGTGGTCGCATGGATTTTTCTCCGCGTCCTCCGGTTTTCCCCTCCACATTCAGTAAATTTCCACGCGATAAGCCACTTCGTTGTGCTACCATTTGTGGCCAGGTTCGCTTCTGAAAGAGATCAATAAAGCTCAGTTGTCCTTACCTGCTAAAATAAAACAAAAGAGATACATCAAATCGATCATTGCTGCTCTTGTTGCTTTTGCAGAACTCCTTCAAGTCATCAACGAAGAAGAAAAAGCGGACCTCCTTCAAGCGAAAGCCCAGCAAGAAAGGCATGGATGTAAGTGGGGACACGCGGCTGCGCTCGGGGGCCTGTTTACCTTCGCGCCGCGGTGTTACATGTCGATGAAGCGGCAGCTCATGTAAAACACGCCATCAATAATTCACACTCCCCCGCAGTGGTTGCAGTTAAATTATACATCAAAGTCAATAGGGTATCGTAATAAAGACGTACAATAATTTTTTCCCCGCACGCACGCGCGCGCGCGCCTACTTACAAAAAACAATCTGCGCGTGTCTGTGCATTGGAGGATCCACGCGGCCGCTTCAAAAATCTTGTGTTCGCCTGCCTGTGGTTTTTTGTTTTTTTGTGCTTTGAGGAGCAGGAAAGCAAGTGGCGACCATTCATCATTAAACCCCTCCCCTCTGCGCTCACGAAGCCCGTGTTGATTTTCATCAACCCCAAGAGCGGAGGGAACCAGGTAAGGAGAGTGGTGGATTGCTGCTGCTTTGCAGGCCGTGCTTTTGGTGTGGGCTGGGTCGCCTTTTTTTTTCTCCCCAAACGCGATTCCGCTAGGGGGCGCCAGCTGATCGTTCATGGAACGCGCACAACAGGGGACCGTGACTGGCTCGCTTCCAGAGGTCGCAAACGGGTTTTGATCCCTTATCCGTACCCGGCCGCACCAGGGTCGCAAACGGGTACCCGTACCTGGCCGTACCCGTACCCTACCCGTACCCGGCCGGGTAGTAAGGAGAAAGCAGCTTGGAACAGCTTTGTCGCAGTGGTTCGTGGCTTCCTGGGCAATCACAAGGTCGAAAACTATGTGGAGCTGGTTGAGACTCTGGTGAAGAACTACGGCACAATGGGCTGTAGGATGTCTCTCAAAGTCCATATTCTTGATGTTCATCTTGATAAATTCAAGGAGAACGTGATGGGAGACTACATTTGGGGGCTGATTCGTGAAAGTGATTTACAGTTTAATCGTAAATCTCGAAAAACTACCCACTTCTAAATCTTTAGTACTCATTTTTGCATTACTTTAGGATAAATACATGTTATTTTTGATTCATATGTTGTTTTTTTCTGACTTTATGTGAACGAAAAGACACAAATTCGCCCGTTTTCTCACTGAAAATAGGTAAATTTCTAAATATCGCTGTCCTGGTCACAAAAGCAAAGTTTATGGGGAATAATAGCATTTTTTATACTTTTTAGGCATAAGCAATTAAAAAAATAACACTTACTTCCCAGGGACAAAAATTGCGTGACATAGTGTAATTAATCGATGTTTTAAATACCCACCAGTGGCTGTGTGTTTGGTGGGGGGGGGGGGGTGAATATAAGATTGATAAGTTAAATGTTGCCATTATCCAGCAAAGTCATTGGCCACATTTCCTAAAAGTGATTAAGCAATTGAAATTGGAACAAGTGTTTTTTTTTATAACACGAACTAATCTTGTTGCATGTACGCTAGTGGCCTTTTTAAATTGTAAAACGTTAACGATGATTCATTTCAGTTTGCGTGGTTGCCGGCTGCCTTGAAATAAAATTAAGGGTTTAAGAACACGCGGCTCGCAAACGTAAAGTTACAAGTTCAAATCCCGGTCGGGGTTCAGGCCAGAACCCTTCATTCTCCCAGGGTTGAATAAAATAATTACCACTTTGAGGTGCAGTCAACAGCAGTTGTCCTACGAGTAGACTCGCCCCTGCCACAGGAATGTGGAGTGTCCACCGTAGGTTCAAGGCTGTAATACGCGGGAGGCGGGGCACGGCCACGTGCTCAGGTTGAGCAGGAGACCGCTTCCACTCGACTGCCACGAAGGGCGACGAGCGTCCTGACGCGCGGACACTCACCGCCACTGCGATCTGTTTTTGTGCCTCAGGGGACGAAGGTCATGCAGACGTTCATGTGGTACCTCAACCCCCGGCAAGTCTTCGACCTGTCAAACGGTGGCCCCAGGGACGCGTGAGTTTTGCAGCACCCATATTTTGTCTTTTCTCTCTCTCTCTCGCTGTCTCTCCTCACGGTCAACCACGACTTGCCCGCGAGCTCTGCCTGCCGGGTCGCGGCACGCACGGCTGCTTTTCTTTTGAAGACGCGCGAATCGCGTTAGCTCAGCCGGCGGGGGTTGGGGGGGGGAGGTTGGTGGGGGGCTATGGACAGTGATCATGCAACTTCGTCACGCCCCCTAGGAATTAAGGCGACGACGCGGCCAATCCCGACGCCCGTCGGAACGCCCCCGCGCCCGCTTCCTTTGAGGGGAACGTCGCGCGTCGCAACGGGACTTCGCCTCCCTTCACCTGCCGATCTTGTGGCTCGTGAAACGGCGATCCGGAACTCGGCCCCTGCACGTGACGGCGTAGCGTCCCTGCTGCTGTGATTTCATTAAGAGGGATTCGCCGTGCAGAAAATCAATTTGGCGCCAGTGCGTGCGCGTGTCCGCTTGCTCAATAAGCACTGCTGCTGGGCACTATGCCCAGCTTGCAAATAGCCACAGCCACGGGGACATCTGCTGGGAACGGGTGAACTCCCGTTTCAGTTTTCAATCAGTTTCCCCCCCCCCCCATCCGCAATTTAATGCGCTTGGCCATTATCCGTATTGCAAACAGGGCCCATTAGCAATTTTAATGACATATTAAAAGGTTAATGGGTTGGTGTGGAAGATAAAATGCATTAAAAAAGTAAATTGGTACATTAGTGTGCTCCAACCCACACTTAATATAGACCGCATAATTGGATCATATCGCAACTGTGCTAAATGCCGGAAGTTTTATTTGGCGCTAAGAGAATCGGCCGGCCCGAAAAAGAAAAAAACTTTTTGACGACGAGTTAAAACTTTTCATTGCCACATCGATTGGTAATTTCTGAAATTTGATACCTCGCTGCGGGAATAATCGTAACAACACGCTACGATTGTTGCCCACACCTCCATAGCCCTCGGCGTTCCGTGCGGTGTCTTTCCGTGCTCGTAATTAGCTGCGGGGCGCATCCTTGCAGTTGCCGTGTGTAAAGTGAGAATCACGAAGTTTATACCTAGCGAGGCCCATCGCCACCCCCACTGCCACCACAGCCACCGCCACCACCATCATTACCATCACCACCACAACTACCGCCGTAGCCACCGTCACGACCTGCACCACCACCGTCACCATCTGCACCACCACTACTGCTGATTGGCACAGTTGCCATGTATGATACAAAGAAGTTCTCCACACTTACATACAGCCACCGCTACCACCACCACCACCACGCTCTTTTATTTGCCGATAACACCTTCATATGTAGAGGAATGCAGGTTTTGAGGCGGCGGGGAATGTTGTGCACGCTGGCCGCGTGGGATTGCCTCTCTCAGTTATCACCACCAATGCCATCGGTAACCTCCACCACAATCACTACCACCACTATGACCACCAGGAGCAGCGGCGCCAGAATCAGCGGCACCAGAATCACCAGCAGCCGCGACCAGAAACTGAGGACCATTTACTATGAGAATCAACGCCACTCTTAACACCACTGCGTAGGCTTTTCGCAGCTATGACCTGCGGCTCTCCGATGCGTGTTTCGGTTCTACGGCGTGTTGTTTTACCACGTTGTCCGGTGTTTCAACTCGCGGTATTTGGAAGTTTCTTCATGGTCCGCAATTCGTTTCCTGAAGAAGCTCCCAGCATTTGCAGCGAAACGTCGGACATCGTGCCGAACAACAGCCGGTGCGACCCGAAAGCGCGTCGGATAAGCGCAGTCAGTTCGTCTCTTCATTTCAAAACTGTTGTCTTTTTTGTATCGCTTGGTAACAACGCGGCTCTGTGTTTGCTCAATTTTTTGGAAAGAAAAAAAAGCAGAGACGGCGCGGCGCGTGCGTCGAGGGGAAAGCGTCGCATTAAATTCATGCCGACTCGTGAGTTGCCTCTCGCGCCCATTAGTGCTCGGTCCATTTTTTTTTTAAAGGCAACAGCGGTTGCGTAAATCCGTCAGAATTGCCCAGCAGGATGTTTAAAACACAGCGGCAGATCATTTGTGAGCCACAAGAATTATGCCGCTCTAATTAAATATGTGACACTTTTGTAATGAGTCAGCATTTTTTGGCCTAATGGCTTTCTCCGTGATTCTGGCGTCGATGTCAGACATCCATTGCGTTGTCATTAATTTTACAGACGTACGCTACGCAAAGTAGCTTTCTACTTCTAATTAATTCACGTTTAAATTATTACCGTTAAACGTGAAGCTGACTTGATAATTAAGAGCTGTGAAAACAGTAAAAGGTTAACCATCGTTGTGTCGGCGTTCGCCGCTCACGACGACGTTGGAGATTAAACTTTTAAGACCCAGAAAACTTTACGTCTGAAGCGAGTGACATTAATAGCGCAGACGTCCAATAATAAACCCCGATTACAATTGAGCGCCTTTCATTTCTCCATTATTCACACCCCCCCCCACCCCCTCGCGAGCTGTTCTCTGCCGCCGATGACTGTCGTTTGTGCCTCTCGTGTCTCGCTGCCTTCCAGGCTTGAAATGTACAAGAAGGTTCCGAATCTGCGGATATTGGCTTGTGGCGGGGATGGCACGGTGGGTGAGCCTGCATGCCCTTCCGGCGGACGTTCTCTCTCTCTTTCACCTCGTTCGGTCTCAAGCTTCCCGAGGGGTTGTTTGCGGGGCGAGCGTGGTTTTCCGCGCTGGGTGGGCCGACCGGTCGCCCCTTCTTTCACGGCACTCCATGCTTGCTTGGGCGCAGATTTGACGCGTTTCTCGATGCTTCTGCCGCATATTATCAATGTTTGTCCCACGGCAAAATGCTTTTCCTTGCAAGTTGTTGCTTTTGTGTGAGAGAATAAACCAATACTCTTTGGTTCTTTCGGTAAAGTCACGTAGGTAGAAAAATAAAATATAACAAAAAATAATAGATCACGACATTTCGATCGCAACACAAGCGGTCGTCCTCAGGCAGAAACAATAATCCAGCAGTGGAACTGCTGAACCAGCAAATCAAGATAGAATAAGCCAATGTTACATACATAATCATATTTGTTACTAATACAACTAAACAAAGGCTCATTGAGCAAAATGCACAATTTGCTTGATTGGTTTTCTTGGTTCAAATGTTGACGTGAATATCCTGAAAACAAATATACCGAGGAGCGGTGGTGCAGTGGTTGTGCGCACTGCACTCTGAACCCCCAGTGACCTGAGTTTGACTCCCGGCCATGGCTAGCATCAGCAGCGAGCGATATCTGAATCGGTCGTGGGTCGTCGAACACCGCCGTACCGACCAACCCGTACCGATCGTCGCGGTGAAGTGTGGTAAAACAAAACTCCCATGACCAACACTGCATAGAGACGGAGACATTTTGTCCAGCAGTGAATTGGCAAAGATGCTGAACATGATTCGACTGAAGTTGTTGTCTGTATCCTGTATTGTCTTGGGTTGTGCTCATGCCATTTGTTTTGACCCAATCGTGAAATCCATCTCTCAATTAAATCCACTCCCGGCTTCCCACCACAGCCCTCACCGGAAGTGTCGCTCATGTTACGCACTTGGGAGGTATGATGGGCTGAGCTCATCGTCATTACCATCCGGAGTGGCTTCAGCGATGTCACTTTTTTTTGTAATTCCCTTTTAATAAAAGAGCAGAGTTTATCTTGTAACAAAATACTATTTGTATTTATCAAGAGTCTAAATGTGACTCCATCTCAAGACACCAGTCGTACGAGGGCGGAGGGGGGAAAGAGAGCCTTTGAAGGGTGATTGCTTCATATGTATGTTTTGGAGAGGGAACGGATAAAGAAACGGCGTTGGAAAAAGAGGCCAAGGAGTAGGAAAAACGAACGATGCTCCCTGACGACTCGAATGAGAGGCGAGGGTCCCTAGAGAGAAGAGGAGGAGGAAGCTGAAGATCAGGCAGGATGCTGGGAGCCAGAGACACAGCCTTTGAGCAGAGGGCTAAACAAGAAGAACGATAGAACGACAAACATTTTTCAAAGTTAATAAAAAAGCTTGCTGCTCTACTGTTCTCACCATTGACCTCAGCCGTGACACCACCAGTAATTCCTTGCAACGCCTCTCAATCTCGTACCTGTCTCATCCTCCTGCCGCTGCTGCTGCTCCTCCACCAGGTGGGCTGGATCCTGTCGGTGCTGGACCAGCTGCAGATGAACCCCCAGCCGCCCGTGGCGGTGCTGCCTCTGGGCACGGGCAACGACCTCGCGCGCACGCTCAACTGGGGCGGGGTGAGTGTCGCCATGCGTGGCCCACGCGTGTTCAGGGCCAGGGGGGGGGGGGGGTGGGGCTCTAAGCAGAGACTTAATTTGGGTGTATCGCCTGACAAGCTGCATAACTTCTTAATAGTGTCAGGGTTGTGCGAAGTAATTAGGGGAATTGGACTAGTTGCAATTAAGATAATAGTCCTAGACTTTTTGTGAAGTTTCACCTCGGTTAAATATGCAATATCAAGATGTCATCATGGCCAAAGCCGTTGATAATGATTATTATTACAACAATAATTATTTTTATTACATATCCATGATTCTTTTTCCGGCAGGGTCCTGCATTGGCTTGTCATGTTAAGGTGTGTTCAGCCCAACGCCGGGCTGTTTATGAATGGGGGGGAGAGAAACTGGAGCGCACGCGTGCCACCGCACCTCGCCCGTACTCTCTGCCATGTGGCAGATCCCCGCGGCTACCGTGGGGCGGACGCACGAATCTCCTAACGCTGTTAACGGTTTGCCGGACAGGGCTACACGGACGAGCCGGTCTCCAAGATCCTGTCGCACGTGGAGGACGGCCTCATCGTGCAGCTCGACCGCTGGAACCTCGACCTGCAAAGGAACCCCGACGTGGGCCCCGAGGAGTTTGACGACGGCGTCCAGAAGGTGAGCGGAGGCCCACGTGGCCGAGCCGGCCGGGCGCGCACTCCTGCTCGGCGAACGGCAACGTGCATCATCCGCCGCTTCGCTCTCCCCACCAACCCCCCCCCCCCCCAGGTCCGTAGCTCGGCCCCCCCCGTCGCCTCTTCGTGCTCAGTAATCTGCATCGCACTGATTGGCTGCATCGCTCTCGTCATGTCGCCACTCTCCCTTCCTTCCATTGTTCTCGTTTTTGCTCCGTAGCGCTCATTTTGGTTTTTGTCGCCCCTTGTCGGGTGCTGCGCTCTGGTTAGGTCCGAGCTGCCGCTAGTGCCGTCGACCGTTTTGTCTCCATCGCTCTACGCGCTCTGGTTATCTCCGTCACTTCCACGTCAGCTTCGATGCGCCCGTTAGCTCCGTCGCTCTCGGGAGCTGAAGTACGATTGTCCACCTCGTTGGGTCCACCACAATTGTTCGCTCCATCCCGTATGTAAGCTTCTCTTGCCCATTACCATCAGTTGTTGCCCGTATGAGATGACCCAACAGGTGATTATCCAAAGCTCGACACTTAAACAAGTTAACCGGGCTTAATGAAACTTGACATTTCACAATTTTAGGCACGTTATCACGTCCACAAATTACATCCCCGGTATAATTCTTTTTTTTTGTAAAAGCCATTATCTCGGTTCTGGCAAATCGTCCGATGATGCTGGATGTAATTACCAGCGAAACGTCGCACTTCTCAGATTGTAAATGTTGTGGATTTACTCTCCAACACACCGGTGGGCTGAGGTAGTAACGAATTGGCGTGTTGTTTACGTGACAAACCTTACCTGCTGTGTCAGGCGGTGGAGGGTTACAACACAATACTTACGCGATCTAACCCAAAAACCTTTATTATGAATAATATTGGTCGCGAAAGCTTACGATTTAACAATTTATCCGTATAAATGTAAAAATAAATCAATTAGACATTTTATTTTAAAGTACGGTCTGCGTGTGTGTGTATAGCGGCGGGTGGCGTGTACCACCTAATCTAAGCTGACGTGGCACTGGCCAAGAGTGTGAGTTCATTAGAGTTCCCCGTGATTCCGAGCGCTCGGTCTGTTCTCACGTCGCTCAATCCCTGAAGGACCTCGCAACCTCCATCTGCACTTCCGCCCCCACCTCCTGCTTTCACTGCTGCTGCTGCTGCTCAGCCCCACCATCCCCCACAACATCATCGCATCCCGACTCAGCTGCCGAGATGCGATGACGACGCGCCACGCATCCAAATCGTGTCTGCTTTGTGTGCTTGGCGGTGTTGGTGAGTCTAGGACACCCAAGTTGAAATTTTGGCCGTGTATGCCCCGTGGAATTGATATCGGAACGGGGCCTTCGGCTCTGCGTTGTATGTATGTTGAACTCTTTTCTCAACGTACGTAGCCAATCGTGCTAATCGGGGGTCAGCACGGTTGGCTGCATGGCACGGGTTTCTGGTGGTCAACAATGAGCACCGATGAGACTGAAGGTGGTGGCGATGCTCAATTCTAGCCTTGCCCCTCCCCTAGATCCCCTGTCAAATGCCACGCAGCCCATAATAGGTGCTCACAAACGTCACGTGCTCTGACAGTCTGCAAGGCTGTACGAGGGGGTGTGTTCGTCTTATATCCTGTCCGAACAACTTTGCCAGCTCAAAACGGTCTGATATTGGTTCTCGTCTTTAAAAAATCAACGCACGAGGGGGTGGGGAAATTAAAAATGTGGCCACGGCAAAGAGGCTGCGTCCCGCACGGATATAACACGCTCAATGACGTATTTGTTCAGAGAGGTGACGTTGTGTGGGGCGGGGGTTGGAGGGTCACACATATTGTTGTGAACGTCCCTTTCTGTGGTGGTCGTGGAGGTGATAATACCCTGGCTGCCCAGGAGAAGAGCAATGCAGCAAATGGGTTCATCTCCCATGAGTACCCAGCTGTGTAAGGGGATCGAGCGTTACCCCCTCTCACCCTACCCCTCGCACGTATGTGTTTTCTCCCGGTGGTCCAGTTTCCCCCCCCCTACGTGATATAAACGCTCATCAATTGCCAGAAAAAAAAAACCCAAAATAGCAGGACTCTCATGAAAAAGAGTCCTCGGACCCAAGTGTGATGTCGCCGGATACACTTGAAGTAGTCGTTGCTCTCATTCATTTAGTGAGGATTAGCAGCGGCGACAACATCCCAGGTGTTGCCATGAATCTGTCCGCAAGCTTTCCTTCGGTTTTACTCACGTGCTTGGTTGTAGCCGTCAAAACAAAGTTGCGGACCGTGCTGCAAACGAGCGCAGACCGCGCTCCTTCAACCGAGGCATAGCAGGACTACACGAACTCTCTCCCAAGAGCCCCTCTCGGGTCTGGCAGACCATTGGATCTCCAGGCCCCCGAACGCATTGCCACGCTTGAAGAAGAGGGATCCACGTGACGCAAACTTTGGCGTCGTGTGGACAAAAATATGGACCCTCCCTGCGGTCTGCGCCAATTTTCAATCTCCACCAAGCGTTGCGTCTGTGATGTTTGCCGTCCGCGTGTCAACAATCGCTGGCGTATCCCCCCTGCCCCCCTGCCCGCGCATTGTTTTGGTAATATCGAGCGGTGGATTTTGTCATCCATGGGCTTTTTTCTGTACGCGAAATTAGTGAGCAGGAGCTCCCAAAATTATAATTTTCCCCCGTCGCTGCCTCCGCGGAAAGTTCCACCGCAGGCAAAGGAACTGATGCATATTTCAGTAGCAATCTGCTCTTGATAGAGAATAAAATAAAAATAATAAGATAAATTCCCCCACCCCCCCCCCCCGCAGAGACGTGGTGATTGAGCCGTGCGCTCCGTATGCCCTCCCCCCCCTCACGTCTTGTCTCTCTGAGGCTCTCTGCCCTCTTCGTAGCCCCCTTTTAAATGCTTTCGATTTACAGTGTGTCCGCCTTGCGCGTGCCGCGGGCAATGCTGCTCACGGCGATTGAGTCGCTCTCGCATTTGCAACCCCCCCCCTCACCCAACTTATTACGCGCGGGCGGTTAGGTTTGGGGTCGCGGCTTTTAATCGGAACTCCGCTCTTGCATTTCGAGTTGAGGGATTTGCAATGCGCCCGTCGGCTTTATCTGCCCCACAGCACAACAAAGAGTACAGCTGGTGTTTGTGCACCTTGGTAAAGAGAAAAGGTGCACACGGAGCAAGCGTGTGCTTATAAACCTACGTGTTCCGTTTACAGTCATGTGATAGATAATGAGAGGAATGGCGACGGCTTGGAACGGCCTTCACTCGGCGGTGAATTGATCACGACTGATGATGACGACGACGACGACGATATGATATCATTGAAACAATATTCACTCGCTTGTCAAAGAGAGAGAGTCACCCAGCGGTGTGAGGAACTACAGACAAGCAAGAAGGCAGCTGCCAGACGTGAGGAGGAGGTGGTACCAACAATTGCTCAAGTTCTGCGGTCCTCTATTAAGGTGTTATCGGCCAGTTATTGAGAGTTTAGCACAGTTGGCTACATCTTGTACGAAAAAAGTTCAACATACATGCATACATGACGATGACGGGCCTTTGTCAAGCCACTGCTGGATGAAGTCCACGTTGGTCCTGCGGGTTCCTTGAGCATACTTCACCACACCGGATGTGGGTTGGTGAACAGGTGGGCCCACGACCGGCTCGGATATCATTATCCACTGATGTTAGCCAAGGAATACAACTCTTTGAAGCGTAGTGCGCTCAACATTGTGTCCCCTCTAATCCATCCGGTGTGGTACACGTAATACGCATTGTAAATTTGTACACGCGTGCATTTTTTTTTTGCCCAGAAAAAATGTTCAGCTTTCTATTTTATTTTAATTCACACAAAACAAATGCTGGGTCTGGCCAATGGGACCCTGGTTTTGGTCGGGATTTAATTAGAATCACTTTTTGATGTTGCCATTTCGGATGTCATTAAGGAGTGCACCAGTAGTTACCGACACTGTTAGACACCCTGGCTGGCTCAGAGTCTACCGGTCGGGGGAAGTCTTTCAAGAATTGGAAATGAGACTTCATCACAGCGTGCTGTGATTAATAATGCATGCGACTGCTTTGGGTTCAAATAGTCAAATAAAAAAATAAACCTTCGCGCATACAGACAGGCATACACCTTTTGAAGATTCAAAGCAATGCACAGTCCAGTCTGACAGGTGCCTTTAACCAAATCAACCGTAATGCGCTCCATCTCGTCACATCTTGGAAGCTAAGCAGGTTCAAGCTGGGATAGTGCTTGGATTGGTGACTGTCGTGCACAACAGGTTGTTGTTGTTGTTGCTGTGGGGCTACATCGTGGGAAGTGCAGCAAAATCCGTTGTCGTACTGCACTTCCACGCTCTATGCTCCCCCACCACTTTGACCAACCCCCACCCACCTGTATGGTCGTATAATTACCTGCACTACTGCAGGGAGGCTTTCACCCAGCAGCGGATCGACTAAAGGGCCGTCGGCGTGCACACGGCTGGCACTCCTTGTGTCTTATCGCCAACGTGTTTCCTCCTCCCCGCCTCAACGCAACGCGTTCCGCCACGCGGCTGCCCCCGTGCCGCATCTGCGCTCTGAATGCAATTTGCGTTGCGCGAGCGGGTGGACCGGGTGGGCGGGCGTGCGTGTGCGGCGGCGAAGCGGAAGATAGAGCGCTATCGAGGCGCGGTTTTTTTTGCGCGCCGATCGAGGCACACGAGCTGTATGCGTGTATGGAGATAAGCAGCCAACGGGACAATTTGTCGACTGTCAGGGCCTGTGTGGTTGGCAGGCGGGCGGTCGGGCGGACGGGCAGGCGAGTCGAGTGGCAAAAAAAAAAGAGAAAACGGTCGCCACGGTGAACTGTCGTCTTTCCCCTCTCCCCCCGCCCAACCAAAGCCTCTGTTAAATACGACTGAGATAAAATGAAAATGATGAGATTGACGGGCCTTTCCTGGCGCTTGGCAAATTAGTTTTTGGGTAAATTGTTTTATCTGCTCACGTGCAGTGTGTATGTGTGTTCGAAAGAAACTAA